GAACATAGAGCGTCCAGTGAGAGACGTTTTGCGCTTTTTGGCCGCTCAAAACGCGTTTGGTGTGAACGTAGCATAAGGCAGCAACTTATACAGATTGTCTGTAAATTATAAGGATTTGACATCATTTTGCAGGTATACGGACGTAAAGAGCAATCTCACGGATTTTTTCAAGTCTTAAGGATATTTTAAAAACCTCATTTTCAAATTTATCTAACATGCCAGAGCCTATAGGATGATTTAAAAAAACAATAAATAACATCAAACAGCCGTCTTCCAACCTGTTCTGCCGCTATAAGTTACTTTTCCCCCTCTCCTTTCCTCCTGCTCCGCAGGAAAAGCTTTCATGTCCACAGCGCCCGCCCCGGGGTGCAAGTTGTATGGATTTTCTGCAAAATTTATGGATTTTTAGGGCTCTTTATACAGGTAAACTACTTTTATTCCTGATTTAAACTAGCGATCGTGAGCAGCTGTGTGCTTTTATTTTTTTCTGTCAGGCTGTCGGAGCGCTCCTCCTCCTCTGTCCGAGGCTGGTGTGGGGTGAAAATCCTCCACCTCAGACGTTCAGAGATGTAACTGTCTGCAATACTGTGGTCACTTTCCATGTAGCATCAATTATGCTAATGCTAGCTGCCTGTCACGTTCTCTCGTCCTGGCCACACCTCCACTCTCTAAACCCTGTTCCCCGCCCACACCCCCTCCCCTACCCACTTTAATGCCTTTTTCTAATTTCGCCTTGGGGCGGAGTTATCTTTTCACAGGGGGGGTAAGTTACACTTTAATTTATAGGGTTGACACTTTAATTTCTAAGGCTGCAGCTGTAAGATAGATACAGACAGACAGACAGACAGACAGAACAAGACAAGACAGACAGACAAGACAGACCAGACAGACAGACAAGACAGACCAGACATACAGACAAGACAGACATACAGACATACAGACATGCAGATATGCAGACATGCAGACAGACAAGACAGACAAGACAGACAAGATAGACAAGATAGACAAGACAGACAAGACAGACAAGACAGACCAGACAGACAGACAGACAGACAGACAGACATTTTTCCCATAATATAAAAGCCTCAAATATTTTGTGTCGTTCAGTGTCTAAATTAGTGTACATGTTGGAGTAATTTATAATCACTATCACTGGAGAAGGAAAAAGATCTTTACAGTCGAAGTTAAAAGATAAGTTCCTCAGAGGAATCACACCTTGAGCAGATGATCCTGTGATATACACGGAGGAACGTTGTAGTAGTGTAGCACAGCAGACGGGGGCTGGATGATGTTTTTTGAGGCTTGACCGGCGCTGCTAAACCGGTTGTTCCTGGTCATGGCAAAGTCCTTATAGCTGCTGCTGCCATCCTCCAACTCAAACACCTGACTGGGGATCACTGCGTGCTGCTTGGACACACTGAACACAGCACAGCTCCTGTTAGATGTCTTATCAAACATGTACAAGGTAAATCTGATTCCTAGGAAAAAATACACCAAAAAAAAACGCAACCATAGCGGTTTCAACCCAAGACTGAACTACAGAGATATCCAGAGCATACATGCTCAGAAATATAACCTAAACACGACAAAGTCACGAAGGTTCATGATTCATTTAAATTTGTCTACAGACATTTGCAGAAGGTATTTGCAGACTGATAAATGCTAATGTTAACACAGCTAAGGCCAAAGAGGATTGTATTCATCTTAGAACAGCTTAATTTAAAAATAATCACAGCAACTCCTTTATGTCAAAGCTGATGTTTAAAGCTTTGCATCACTGTCATTTACATTTTATTCAGTTATTTCAGCAGAAATAGGAGGAAATTCCTGCAGTAGAGTCTGGGTTGAACCAGAAATGCTATACTGTATATGCTATCTACATATTTTAACTTTCAGACAACCACAGAATTTTCCACAAATATCCGTCTAATGCAGAAACTGTTAGCAAGAACATCACATTAATCTTTAAATACTGGTCATTCTCACCAGACATTGAGTCTTTTTCCAAACAGCTTGATGCTGTTGAGGTGTGTGATGGCTCTGTCCACAGCATACTCATCTCCCATCTCTACCAGTGCTGTACCAGGAACACTCTTCATGAACTTTACCTACAAACACATGAATACACACACAACAGCTGTCTCCTCAAGGACAAAGAGCAAGTACACAGTTCTATATCGACATAACATGACTCTGAAAATATGTTTGACTGTAATGATCCTAGGTTTTGTGTGCATTTCAACCTTTGCAAAAAGCAACAATCAGTGTAAAAACTATAATGACATGTTTCACATAGTAAAAACATGTACAAAATATGAGAACAATTACCTTCTCAATGTTGCCGTAGAGGCAGAAGAGGTTGAAGATTCGAGTGCAATTCATCTTGGATGGATGGAGGCCGCTCACCATGGCTACAGAGCTGGAAGCATGGCCAGAGTAGGAGGAGGACAGCTGTGGCATCGGGTAGGACACCATGTCTGGAAYGTCCACTGAGGACAGCTTGTACCTGCTGCTGCTGGGCAGAGGCAGCAGGGGGCAGGCTAGACCTCCAGAGACAAGCAGAATGTAGCTCAATCAACATCCCTTCATTCAGGCTTTCACAAACAACATCTCATAACTCAAACTGAATGTGAATAAAAAGCTAATCAAAAGCTGCAGCCACTAATTATCAAATCAAATCCACCAAAAAGAAACCAGAAACAACAAATACAACCATAATCTGTGTTTAGGGTAAATTGGAATCCAGATATTGAAGCCAAAACATAAAGAGCCAGTAGGCTGTCTGCAGTCTAGGTTTTAAGTCCACGCCAACAAATGGGCTATTTTTCTGATTATTTATGAAAAATACTCAGTTAAATTTGACCAAATGCTGAAAGCCCTAACACTTGGTCACTGGTGTGCTGATGGGCAAGTGTCTGGTTCCACCTCTGAGTCCAGTAAATAAAGTGGCTACATTGAATAAATTGACAGAGTTTCTTGAGACTTTATCTCACCATAGCTGTTATCAGTGTAGGATGATGGGTGTTCTCCTAAAATGGCCTGTCTTTGTCTTCCTTTTCCACGTTCTGAAACACACAAGAACACAATCACACATATCTGAACTCTGTGCACAACACTCATTCATTTACCTAAAAATGTCCACCTACTGCTTCCAATCTGTGACCCAAAGTGT